CAATTGGACATTGGGACAGGAATTGGCAAAGTTTTGTAATAGCCGCCAAGATGACTGTGATGTCTTACTACCTCCACTGTTGATGGCCTGTAGAACAGCAGAGGACGAAGCCATTGGATGCACTCCAGCAAAGCTAATGTTTGGTCTGGAACTTCGGTTGCCAGTGGACCTGATAACAGGATGCCCACCTTATGAAGAGTTGCCTGAGAATGTGCCAGAGTTTGTGAAAGTGTTATCGGAAAGGATGGATAATATTCACCATCAAGTGCGTTCAAACTTGAAAACGTCTGGTGATTCGATGAAACTATGTTATGATAAGAAGTCTACTGAAGTCAGCTTTGTACCAGGAGACAAGGTGTGGTTGTATAATCCCAGGAAGATCAAAGGGAAGTCTCCTAAGTAGCCTTCTTCATGGGAAGGCCCATATGACATCGTGGATCGTCTCTCAGACATGATTTTTCGAATAAAATGTGGTCGGCGAGGTAAGCCAAAGGTGGTGCATGCCAACAGGCTTTGGCATTATCATGGTCCAGGACATTTCAGTTGAAACGAAGTGAACAATCGAAAAAATGATGCTGCTAAAGACATGTCACCTGAAAAAGCTACTGTCGAAGAAGAAACTCTATCCGGTTTTGAGAAGGAAAACAGTGAAGCCATTAATGAAGTTACTACCACTGATGTGACTGTTACCTGTAATGGGACATTTCCTGATGAAGCAGATGAACCCCACGTGAAACAGAAGCCAATGTGACGGAGACCAGTACGGAAGCAGATACGTCCTGTAAAATTAAGAGACTTTGTTGTATTTTAATTTTGCGTTTGTAAATTCTGTACATTTAATTAAGCTATTATTAATTATCTATAGGTTTAATGTAAGTGGTTATTGTTCGGGACGAACAATGCTAAGTAAGGGACAGTGTTACGACAGCGGAAGTCACGCGACGCTAGGAGCATGGGCGCTGGAGTTTCTCGAAGGATTATGAATTTTCCTGGCAACTCATGTTTGTTCGAGGTGATCTCTTTTTGGTATATAAGCCTGGCGAGAAAACCCAGCGCGATTGAAGAGATGTAGATAGATATGCAGATAGATCGAAGAGATAGATAATTGAGTCACGCGAACAGTAGGCACCGTAAGTAAAGTGTGTTATAAAGGTTGTTAAGTTTAAAGTGAGTGTGGAAATTCTGTGTATTACAAAGTTGTATCGGGAAAGAATAAACTAGTTTTAATTAAGAAAGGACTTGTATCGCTGAAGTTACTCGGATATAATTTATACCGGAAAGTAACAAACAAGCAAATACGTAACAGTACTTACCGGTATTAATTTTGATAATACAGGACATTTGAGTTCATTATATACCAAAATGGGACATTTTCGCGTTTCCTAAAGTTTCTGGGAGACTGCAGGACAGGCAGCTCATAAACGGGACCTTTCCTCCGAAATCGGAACGTCTGGTCACAATTCTACTAAACAACACCCACCGCCAACTCTTGGCCACCACGTTTGTAATGCACACATGGCTCCCATAGTGTAGAGCGTGATTTTTTTTCTTTTTGCAGTAATGGGACGCTGACGATGGTTTCGCACATAGTTTGGCACATTGACTAATAAATCCCACTCAGCCCTTAGATTCTACACAGCGTGGTCACAAGTAAATAGACACCACCTTTTCAGAAAAAAATGAAAATTTTCAGTTGTATTCACATGAAATGATATATTTATAATTTAATTAATATCTAGTAGATCTTCCTTTCGCTTCGTGGAGTTCGTTGATCCTTTGGGATATCGTGAGAATCATCTCGTCAATTTTAGATTGTGGGATTTTCGCCCACTCTTGCTTCAAAACTTGGAGTAGATCGCTCTTCGAAGTTGTTTTTTTTTGTTGTTGTTGTTGTTTCTTGACTTGGCGGTCGAGTATGGCCCAAAGGTTTTTTGATGGGGCTCATGTCAGGAGATTGGCTCAGCTAGGGCAACTTCTGGATACCATTTTTTCCTGCCACTTTTGGGTGTTTCTAACAGTGTGA